AAAAAAAAAAAAAAAAAAAAAAAAAAAAAAAAAAAAAAAAAAAAAAAAAAAAACATTCAAGAAACAACCGAAAATTAATAGTTTAACGGAAAGTTAAGAAAAAAAAAAAAATTCATTGGAAATACATGACACATAGATACGATGACGCACGGGGGGCACGTCGAGCTTTCGCGTCGGCCATTGAGCCATCCGAGTCCACAGGAGAGCATAAAGCGCGACCGCGTGCCCGTGTCCTAAAAATCCTTCGAAAGCTTTTTCGTCGTTCGAATGGCCTGTTCGAAAAATATAATATATTGCCGTAAATTATGACCCCAGAAGGTGTATTATATATTTTAAATGTCTCTCTTTCTCGCCCGAACAACGCGTGCATTAGATTACACAACGAACGTACAGCGCCCGTTGATTATTTTGTCAAAAAAAATAACCAAATTTTCAATTAAACCAATCAATAATTAACGTTTCAACAATAACAACAAACCTTTGTACATGACATATAAAACATATGTACCCTTATGACATGTTTTTCCATTGACTTCTTTGTTATATTTTATAAGTTATTGTTGTAAGGAAGAAAAAAAAAAAATACAATACTTCGTATTCCAAGCCTTTTTCACTCGAATAAATTTGAAGAGAAAAATAACAATCGCAAACTTTCAAGCTCGAGCTTATTTTCTCGCACATCCTGTACACACCCACACCCCCTCTGAATAACTCCTCCTCCAGTTGGTATACGTATATATAGCAACCACCTCCTCTGCGTCAGCAGCGTGTATATATTATACGCATATACAGCTTAATCGGGCGAGCCAAGCCCGGAGGAGCGTGAAGCTCGTATAACATTTGCGTCGCAAGCTCTCGGCCGGGGGTTAACATGCGCGTGTACGCGGCACACGAAGCGCGATATCCGTAAATGGCCAGAAGGGATTCTTAGCCGGTGATATGTACGCGCGTCGCGATAATGGGGCGCGGTTGATGCTTGAGAGTAGCTTGAAGACAAGTCAAACGGTGCCTTGACAGGAGAACAGGAGGACCCAAGGGTTAGCTCTCGCTGTGTTTCCCTTGCCAAGGATGGGGTGTATATGGGAGGAGGGGGAGGGCGTTCCCGCGCCTGCGCCCCGTAACCGCTTATACGGGAGTCGCGGACTGTCCTGATACGAGTGCGGATGTGGCTGGTTTTTTTCGCTTTTGAGGGTGACCACGAGATTTGGCTGCTAACGGGGTGGGGTTGTTGGAATTTTGTTTTTTTTTTTTTCCCTGTACGGGCGAGTAATTTTGTCACGGGTTGTTATGTCGTCGAAAGTATATGAAATCAAAGAGGATTTTTCAAAACAAATGAGGTTTTTGTTGAATTTTTAATAAAATCATACGTTTTCCTAACTGAACCTTATAATTAATTGATGTATATGTATACGTTACGAAAATTTAATATTGTATTTAAAAAAAATAATAATTTTCAGAACGCAGTACTTGTAATTACGTACCAACAACTGCAATTATTGGACAGAGTATTATTTTACTACTGAATTTTTAAATATACGTTTTCGGATGCTTAATTGCAGATTAATTAAGAGCAACGTTGCAATTAAAAACTACGAGAACGTTTAAATTGTTTTTTTTTTAAATCCACTTTTACAGCAATTAAGTTTCGATCATTTTCAGTAGTTTCAACGTGATATAGTCAGACGCGATGTCCGACGTAAATAACAGTTCATATTTTTGCTCTTGATGTGCTTCGTGAATCTTTTGGAAAATGCATTTATTTTATCATCCTCCACTACAACCGCAAAAAAAAAAAAAAAAAAAGAAAATAGATCTCCAGGTACCATAATGGTAAAACGAAAACAAAAAAAAAGAACCGTACAAACTTCTGTTATTCGTTAATTCGTCGCATCCGACGTTTAAAAGCTTGATTCATTGTAAAACGCAGCGCAGTAGTCGTATAATTCGGGCAAAAGCTTCGCAGTCTCGTCGACCGCACGACAAAAATAGTGAGTAAACAAAAAAAAAGGGAAAAAAAAGTATCTTTTGTGCCGCTCAGCCCCTTCGGGGCCTTTAGGTCCTTAAAGCGCTCTAATTGAGGTTGCTCCGAAACAATGGCGAGGACAATGGGGAAAAACAAAACCAGAGGGAAAGAAAGAAAGGAATAATAAAAAAAACACACACACACACACACACACACCGAGAAACAAAAAAACCCCGTTCCTCCTCTCGTCATCTTAGGCCTTTTGTTTTCTTATCTCGTTGCCCGCGGTAGCGCAGAGCACACCTACCCGTAAAATAGACGATACAGACGCGCGCGCGCTAGATGGGCAGGCGCACATAACGAAGTACCTGCCTAACGACGGCGACGACTCGACGTC